TTGGAGTCTCCTCCCGAGGCAATACCTCCAATGATGATATTGATGGTTCCAGCAGTGGGTTGACCATCCCTTTTTGCCTCAGGGACTTTTTCCCTGCCATGATCGTTCCTCGGCCGTTTGTCGTTACCGACGTAGGAACTCAAGAGTCCTCTTTTAATACGGGCTTCAATCTCCCGTTGCAGGGCTTTACAGTTCTCCGTGGTATGCCCGTGATCCCGATGGAACTCACAGTACTTGTTCATGTCCCTGGATTCGGGTGGTGACCTCATTTTGACAGGCCATTTCAGTTCCTTCATATCCTTGATCTCCATCAATATATTGGTTTTTGACGTATTTAAACGTGTGAACGGGGTCGGGGGAACCTCCTGCCTCTGTTTTTTCCGATGTTGTTCTTCACGGGGGTTCGGGTCATGCTGTCTCTTATGCTCGACCCTGTCATGGGATGGTCCAACCTTTCTCGGGTTCAGTGTTTCCTCCATATTTATGTACTTCTCGGCTCGATTAAGAAGCTCGGTGACTGTCTTTGGTGGAGTTTTGGATAAGGACATCTTGAAAGCCTCGCACTTTATGGCATATGTGCGGGCAGAAACTGCTGCAGTTATGTGTAGGTCGGGAATCTGAAGTCTTTCCTTGTTGAACCTGGTCATGAAGTCACGTAGGGTCTCATTTTGCCCTTGTCTAAGTTGCATGAGGGAAGCTGCTGTCTTCCTGATGCGTTTGCTGCTTGCGAAGAAAGCGGAGAACTTGTCCGCCAAATCCGAGAATGAGGCTATGGAGTTGGGCTCTAAGGTTGAGAACCAATCCCTAGCAGCATTCGTCAAAGTTTGCGGGAAGGCCTTGCACATCACCTGATCTGGTGCAACCTGTAGATTCATGACGTCCGTGTATATGTTCAGATGATTGATTGGATCGGTGGTCCCATCATATTCTTTGATCCTAGGATACTTAAATCTGTCTGGTAAGGGGAATGTTAATATTTCGGAAGTAAATGGAGTGTTGGGACTGAATCTTGTCGTCCCTTTGTTGCCCTGAAGTAGGCCCGCCGTAATTCCTTCTTGAATAATTCTAGCGAGTTCCCCGGAATCCATGGTCACTGATCTCGAGGCCGAGGTCACATGTGGTATACCCGAGGCCCCTGCTCCGCCATTGTCAGGGGCATGTGTTTGAGCTCGAGCTCGGGCATCAGCCATAAAACCCCCCTGGGGTGCTGGTGTAGGTGACGGATGCGAATTTCTTTGACTTAGCAGCTGTGTCAGTGTGGCGACCTGTTGTCTGAGCTCTTCAAAGGCTCCCGCAGTGACGACTACCGGCTGGGGCTCTGGCATTTCTGATGATTCCTCTTGAGGAACAGGGATATCCTCAGGAGGGGGTTGGTTTGGAGCGGATGAGCTTGCTGGTGGAAGACCTGAACGTGTGTTCACCATGGCTTTTGGTAGCGTTTCCCACAGACGGCGCCAATGATGCTACCAAAAATCGTACCTGCAGATTTTCCGAGCTTGATGACTGATAAGGAGCACGAACGTGATCTTCCGATACCTGAAACAAAGGCAACGAGGTGTGTTCTCGTCGCCCCTCCGATGCTTAAGTCAGAAAGGGGAAATATATGCGTGAGGCTATGTGCTGAAGAACAATGAGAAAACGTACCTGAATAATGGCCCAAGGTTCTGTATTTATAGAGGTAGGTGGTGTGTTCATATTAGGATTCCGTGTTGCACCTGTAGTAGGATAGTTTGATTTTGCAATCTTACACCAATGAGTCCTACGCGAGATAGGAGTTTGAATTGAGGTATAACTGTGATACCAATAGAGTTCTTCAGGGCATAGGAGACATGAATTGAGGATTTTTAGTCAGAATAAATCTCTCGTTGGATGAGGCGCTGTCGTAGGTCATAATCCCGAGGACAAAACCCCGAGGATATGTCGAATGATTGATGAATAACTCTTCGGGATAATAGCTCGGGCATATAGGGGATACCCCGAGCACATATGTCCCGAGCATTTTGATACACATAGCGACGAAATTGAGTCCTCGGGTATGTGTATACGTCGGGAACAAACTTGGTTATATCAGATAGAATATAGGCAAGGGATTTGAGTAATTTGAGTCACGAGGACAGAAGAATTGAAGTTAAATTTATCGGAATATTTAACTAGATACTTAGCAACAATAAGTTAAAGCTACTTGAAAGTCTAATTTTATAAGACACTTACTTTTACAAGTGAAAGCCTTTTAAGTCTACGCAGAACATGATTCAATCACTCTCACTTCCTTTAATTAATTCTCAAATGTCACAATATTTTTCTATCTATCTTATTCATCTTGACAGTTCAGTTTGCATTATAATTTTATCATTGAAATTACGTAGTCTCGGTCCGACTTTATTTTTTTGGCCTCCCATTTTTAGGCTATTTATTACAAAGAGAATTAAGCAGGCCGAATCGTTATTTGTGGGAACTCTGGCATACATCTTGCGGGGTTTGATCCATTCAAGCAATAATTTTCGCATTGTATGAACCTTCCTTCCACTGTCTTTCTCGCCCTCTCTCTCTCTCTCTCTCTCTCACACACACACACATCCTTGTCAAACAGTAAAATATTAATACTATGATCAAAGTACAAAAGCAACATTCCATTCTCAAAAAGGAGGGATTTTTTTATTTGTTGTACACCACTAATTGCAATTCTTGATCATTAAGGCTGTCGTCTGGGTTTTGGTCATTGTGACTTCCATTTTCCGCCATTTAGAGAGAGAAAAATTTTGAGGAAAGCCGAGGGAGAAAGTGAGAAACTGTCAAAGGGTCTTTCTTCCTGTTTTGACTCTGAAATTTTCAACTCAGATCTATTCCGGGTCTTCTGTTTTTGTTCAATTATTGTCGTTTCTTTTAGATTTCTTGTCGTGTTGCAACAAGCGTTCTATTTGGTGTTCTTGTTTGTCAGGAAGATTTCATAAGCTTCAGTTTTGAGCATTCCTATGAATAGATCACTCCGTACCTTGTTTTTCAGAAAATAGAAACATCATTATTAGTATTTTGTTCCTAAATCTTTGTAAATGAGTCTCAAAAATCCCAGTTGCCTTAATATTTTATTTCTCGATATTCATTTTAAAACCTTGGAATATCTACCCAGTCCTCTGAAGACCCAGCTCATTCATATGGGGATTCTCTAATCCATTCCCCAAGATTTTAGTTCTTTTAACAATCCAATTTTCTATAGAAGCCTTTCGCTTTCAATCAAATTTGATTTTTGGGTTGGGTTCTGCTTTTTGTGAAAATGGGCTGTGCATCTTCGAAGGAAAAAGTGTGCCAGAATTGTCAGGGACCTTATTCTCCGGTCAGGCGGAGCTACTCAATGCACGTACACCACCTGCCTCAAGAAACAGTGGATAGCTACCACTTGGTGGCTCTTACTTCCTCCACTTTAGGTTCTTTGAAGCTAGATGATCCATTGACTCAAAGTCCTAGTATTGATTACAAGGATCTGTTGATTCAGAATCATTGTTCCATCGTAGAAACTCCGGTTGAAAATAAGGAAATCGATAAAGCAAAGGTGGTGAAAGAGGACTTCGCAATGGGAATGATCGAGGCCAAGACTTGGTCTAAAATGACCAACGAGAAAATCCCAAAGATTGTTCCCATAACGCCCATTTGGACGCCTCCCGGCGAGCCAGAATTGATCAATGTTTGGGAGTTGATGGAGGGTCTTGATGACATTAGTCCTCTTAGACCTTCACGTCATCTTCGTGGCTTTTCCTTTCATGCATCTCAGAATCCAAGTTTATCTTCTCTAGACGAGCAACCAACGCCCAGAGCGAAAGAAAATGGCGAAGCGTCGCCTAAGCCTTTGTGGCTCGAAATGGCTGATAATGATTCGTGTTCGAATGATGCATCTATTGTCTCTGAATTTGATCCTGAAGTGACTGCCACTTTCAGAAGAGCACTCGAAGAGGATCTCCCTCTGGCCAGTCCAATTTATCTCAGGGATGAGGCCTTGGTGAATAAGATTGCGCCACGTGGTACAGACAAGTTGATAGTGTATTTCACAAGCCTAGGAGGGGTGAGGAAGACGTACGAGGATTGTTGTCATGTTAGAGTGATTCTTAAAGGGTTAGGTGTTAAGGTTGATGAGAGGGATGTATCAATGCATTCTGGGTTCAAGGAAGAGTTGAAGGACTTATTGGGAGAAGGATTCAAAGCTGGTGGCCTGCCGCGAGTTTTCTTGGGGAGAAAACACATTGGCGGGGCTGAGGAAATACGCCGGCTGAATGAGGATGGAAAGCTTGAGAAAGTGGTCAAAAGCTGTCAACTCGTGGGCGATGGTGGTGAAGGTGGAGGATACAGTGGTGGAGTTTGTGAAGCATGTGAAGATGTTCGATTTGTGCCATGTGAAACATGTTCAGGGAGTTGTAAAATCTATCATAAGGATGATTACAACTATGAAGAACACGACGAAAGTGAGAACGAACATGGCTTTCATCAGTGCCACGATTGTAATGAAAATGGACTTATACGATGTCCAATATGTTGTGATTAAGTTTGATTATTTCTTGTATAGTGAGAGAGTTTATTTTATTTTAGTAAGGTCAATGATTTGTTTTAAATTAGCTCATGTCTGTGTTAGAAGTCAATCTTTCTTACAAAAAAAGTTACTCAATTGTTATCAAATAATTTGAGGAATGTACACATTTTTTTCTTTCATCACACGTCTCTCTTCTTCACTATCAAAGATTAAGTTGAGATCAACATTCGAATTTGATTAAGTTAGGGATAGGGTTCATAGGTGGCGAGTGGTAGCACCAAATTCTATCAGCGAGCCAAAGTTGAAAGCATGAAAATCTGGTTTGTTGTCTAATGACTGCGTGAATAAACACTTTATCTATATTTTATACGACATTCTGATAGCAGATCGGCTCAATCATTCTCGCGAAGCTGTCCGTGACCGACTTGGTTTATTTTTTTCATTTCAAGTACTTTGTAAATTCCCCAACAACTCAATTATTTAATGCTAACTGCAACCAGTATCTAAAGTAATTGAATGGGTTTTCTTCAAATTAGGTATGAAAAAAGAATCATGGTCAGCACACTAATAGACTTCGATGTTAGCGGTCAACCAAAATAATGGACTACCGAACAATATTTTAATGTCTTATTAAATACAGATAAAAGTTCGGCATAAATCCCATTTTGCACATTGAAATTTCGCAAATGAGGATTTCATAAATTCAAGTACATCGATTCCTTGAAAGGGTATCCAACTCTTTAAATTATTATTCATTAGCCACTAAGAAACACTAGAATAATAACAGGTAAGTGTGCCTTTTTCACTAAATATTGAAAGGAAAATGTCATATAGTTGATAAATCATAAATCTATGATGATCTTATCAATCAACTTTGATTGTAATGAAAATGGACTTATACGATGTCCAATATGTTTGATTAAGTTTGATTGTTTCTTGTATAGTGAGAGTTTATTTTATTTTACTAACGTCAATGATTTGTTTTAAATAAGCTCATGTCTGTGTTAGAAGTCAATCTTTATTACAAAAAATGTTACTCAATTGTTATCAAATAATTCGAGGAATATACACATTTTTTTCTTTCATCACACGTCTCTCTTCTTCACTATCAAAGATTAAGTTGAGATCAACATTTGAATTTGACTAAGTTAGGGATAGGGTTCATAGGTGGCGAGTGGTAGCACCAAATTCTATCAGCGAGCCAAAGTTGAAAGCATGAAAATCTGGTTTGTTGTCTAATGACTACGTGAATAAACACTTTATCTATATTTTATACGACATTCTGATAGCAGGTCGGCTCAATCATTCTCGCGAAGCTGTCCGTGGCCGACTTGGTTTATTTTTTTCATTTAAAGTACTTTGTAAATTCCCCAACAACTCAATTATTTAATGCTAACTGCAAGCACAGGCGGACCCAGGCCCGGGCTAGCACGGGCTCACCCAAGCCCAGATGCAGTCAATTTTTTTATTTTTTTTCATCCCATGTAAAATTGAAAATCAGCCCGTGTGGTGTAAACCCAATTGCAACAAAATGAGCAAATGACCCAACTTCAATTTATTGGCCCAAACAAAACATAAATTTTATTTTCCATTTAAACCCAAAACTAAAACCAAGCACAAACCAAATTTAATTCTAATCCAACATTCTCCAACAACAGGTCCACTGGTCCAAAATGATTCCTCTCCAACCTTTTTTTTCAAATTTTCAATCCAAAAATTCTATAAAAAATTAAGGAACTCATTACCCTAATCAAAGATTTCATAGCCTAATACCTTCTAGTAGGTGCCGGCGTGCTGCGAAGAACCGTCAGTCTGCCTTGTAGGAGTCCAAATCGTCAGTCCGTCGACGCCAGTCACGCCACTGCTGTTCTCCATTTCTCCTGTGAGCCTCTCTCTGAATGGCTATTATGGATTTATGGTTTGTATTATGTAGAGTTTATAGACCATAGTTGTATAGGATAATAATAGGATTAGAAAATCTAAAATCTGAAAACAAGAAACGGAAATGAAAATGAAAATCGGAAACACCGAAACAGGAGGCCCGAATGCTGCTGGAAGTTAGAAACTAAAAAGAAGAAGAGTGACCCTTTTAATTTATAATTTTATATGGATTGTTGACACATGGATGGGAAGATTTTGATAAAGTTAAAAGTTAATTAATTAAACGAAGCGTCGCCTAAGCCTTTGTGGCTCGAAATGGCTGATAATGATTCGTGTTCGAATGATGCATCTATTGTCTCTGAATTTGATCCTGAAGTGATTGCCACTTTCAGAAGCGCACTCGAAGAGGATCTCCCTCTGGCCAGTCCAGTTTATCTCAAGGATGAGGCCTTGGTGAATAAGATTGCGCCACGTGGTACAGACAAGTTGATAGTGTATTTCACAAGCCTAAGAGGGGTGAGGAAGACGTACGAGGATTGTTGTCATGTTAGAGTGATTCTTAAAGGGTTAGGTGTTAAGGTTGATGAGAGGGATGTATCAATGCATTCTGGGTTCAAGGAAGAGTTGAAGGACTTATTGGGAGAAGGATTCAATGCTGGTGGCCTGCCGCGAGTTTTCTTGGGGAGAAAACACATTGGCGGGGCTGAGGAAATACGCCGGCTGAATGAGGATGGAAAGCTTGAGAAAGTGGTCAAAAGTTGTCAACTCGTGGGCGATGGTGGTGAAGGTGGAGGATACAGTGGTGGAGTTTGTGAAGCATGTGGAGATGTTCGATTTGTGCCATGTGAAACATGTTCAGGGAGTTGTAAAATCTATCATGAGGATGATTACAACTATGAAGAACACGGCGAGAGTAAGAACGAACATGGCTTTCATCGGTGCCACGATTGTAATGAAAATGGACTTATACGATGTCCAATATGTTGTGATTAAGTTTGATTATTTCTTGTATAGTGAGAGAGTTTATTTTATTTTAGTAAGGTCAATGATTTGTTTTAAATTAGCTCATGTCTGTGTTAGAAGTCAATCTTTCTTACAAAAAAAGTTACTCAATTGTTATCAAATAATTTGAGGAATGTACACATTTTTTTCTTTCATCACACGTCTCTCTTCTTCACTATCAAAGATTAAGTTGAGATCAACATTTGAATTTGATTAAGTTAGGGATAGGGTTCATAGGTGGCGAGTGGTAGCACCAAATTCTATCAGCGAGCCAAAGTTGAAAGCATGAAAATCTGGTTTGTTGTCTAATGACTGCGTGAATAAACACTTTATCTATATTTTATACGACATTCTGATAGCAGATCGGCTCAATCATTCTCGCGAAGCTGTCCGTGACCGACTTGGTTTATTTTTTTCATTTCAAGTACTTTGTAAATTCCCCAACAACTCAATTATTTAATGCTAACTGCAACCAGTATCTAAAGTAATTGAATGGGTTTTCTTCAAATTAGGTATGAAAAAAGAATCATGGTCAGCACACTAATAGACTTCGATGTTAGCGGTCAACCAAAATAATGGACTACCGAACAATATTTTAATGTCTTATTAAATACAGATAAAAGTTCGGCATAAATCCCATTTTGCACATTGAAATTTCGCAAATGAGGATTTCATAAATTCAAGTACATCGATTCCTTGAAAGGGTATCCAACTCTTTAAATTATTATTCATTAGCCACTAAGAAACACTAGAATAATAACAGGTAAGTGTGCCTTTTTCACTAAATATTGAAAGGAAAATGTCATATAGTTGATAAATCATAAATCTATGATGATCTTATCAATCAACTTCAAAGGACATTATTCATTAATCACAAATAGAAGGCAACAATAGCAAGCAAAACAATAAGCAATACATAAACACGCAACTTTTTGCGATTGGGATTCGAGCCCATTTAATAGGATTTCTATGTTTGCTAATAACTTTTGTTGTCATAAAAAATTGTAGGGACTATTCTAGAGCTAACTTTTAAAAGAAAGGGACCCTTTTTATTGACGGTAAAAGGTGAGATTGTATATTTTGTGTTGATTGGGGAACCAATGTGGTTGATTGGTGGGCTCGGGCGATCCTGACGTTATCTATTACAAGTGTATGTGATTGATAGGATGTAAGGAATCTGTAATCATTATGTCTTTTGGGGATTACGGTAGCACTGAGATCGAGCTGAACTTCTGTAGCCAAACTGAAATGCATATGAGGTGGGGCCTGCGAACAATAGATATGAGATCAAAGGTCGGTGGTCGACAACTTTTGAACAACTTTCTTTAAAACCTCTTTTAATCAGACAAAATATTTTTAAACAAGTATTCAAACATGTTCAAAAATTACTTAATTTCAAAAGCAGCCTTTGACTTCAAACGAATCATTTACGTACACTTCATATAGCTAGAAAATTTTCAAGTTGATTATAAAAATACCATCTAATTTTCACATGCACAAAATGTATTAACTATTAAATGGGTTGGGAACGTCGCACAATTTAGGTTCAATTGCTAAAATAGAGCTGAAGGCGTTCTAATGTTATTTAATACTTGTATTTCAATTCTCTAAGATATTTACAATTTAGGTGTTTTTGTTTTTGTTTTTCAAACTGTCCAATCATGTATCGATACATGTTCCATCTGAATTTGAGTTTTGATTTGAGTTTGGATGTGTAGCATAATGAAAAAATTAATAAAATAAGTGGTTGAAAATTCATAAAAATTGTGAGTCCTATGTGATTTCAAAGATGAATTTGTCGAAATGAGTTCCCTACAACAAAGGAATTAATTATAGAATTGAAGGATTCAAAAGTTGGATTGCACAAAAATTTATGGGCCTCTAGCATGAAAATCTGTCCAGTAATTACAAGTTGGGTTTTACAGGGCCCATGTGGCCCTGTACAACCCGCAAGTCCTTACAAGTTTGTATAAAAGTTGAGATGTGCCCTGTGTCCGGACAAGTTTATATAAAAGTTGAGTTGTATTCAATCTAGATATTTAAATTTTTTTAAAGATTTTAATTTAAAAAAATATGTTAATTTTTTCAAGGATTTTAAGATTCTATTAAAGTTTTGAGTATTTATAGACTTTTCAAAAAGTGTTGGGACATTAAAATCAATCTCAAAAAGTCACGAATTTTTAAAATTCAATAATTTCTATCCCTCAAACACTAACTTTTAAGCGGAATGTAAAAACACAAAAATAAAAGTTTCTCATATTATTTATAAAATTGTGAAAAATATCACTTAATTCGTAGGCGGGGTGCATCATACTATTTGTTCCAATCTATGAAAGACCCTCGCTTGAACTCAATAGGAAGCCATGCACGTTGGTCTAACAACTTTCTTAAAGTCAACAAGGCTTTATGTTTACCGTTGTTCCCAGCCCATGGTGTATACCACCATATCAATAGCATACGGAGAATTCGCATGTATAGTTTATCCTCAAGATTTCGAAAAACTTCCAAAAGGAGGAA